TTTTTTTTTTTTTTTTTTTTTTTTTACACCTCCAATCTGGGAAGCGTGAAAAGGAAAAGGGACCGGGGGTACTATTCATCAATGGCAGGCCATAGGCCCTACGTTTGGCGTTTCATCCTCGTTTTCTTGTGGCAACAAGTTTCGGACTGCAAGGCTGGGGCCAAGTACTAGCGGTTTAAGGCATGAAAATATGGCATGACACAGATCGTAATTAGTGAGGACACACATGGCATACTCAGAAGGAGGATAACGAAGAGGAGGACAAAAGAAGAAAGAAAGAATAAGAAGGAGAAGAAAAGAAGAAGAAAAAGAGAAGGACAAAACAACAAAAAGGAAAAAAATGGAAAGACTAGAAGAAGAACAAAGAAGAAGAAGAAGAAGAAAAGAAGAAGAAGAAGAAGAAGAAAAAGAAAAAGAAAAAAAAAGAAGACAACTGAAGAAGAAGAATACACGTAGAAAGGGGGATAAGAGTCAAAAGTTTCATCTTAAAATATTATTAAGTCAAAAATCTCGATCATAAGAGGGTAGAAAAAGCGCCATGCACGATATCTTATACTATCCAACTCCGGGAACTCCCCACTGCAGGCTTCATCAGGGGTGCTTTTGACCAATCTTCTGTCAGAGTCGGAATTTCCTTGACTCACGTGAGTGCTTTTCACTTTTAAGGGAGCCCAGCATCAGAATCCCGTAGACAGTGAAGCCTTCAAGGATGAACTAATGACTCTCTCCTGAGTCTCCCCCAGGGACCTCCACCATTTCAGTTTTTCCTCTTCCGTGACCTTCAGAATTTTAGAGATCACTTCGTATCCAGCTTCCCCATCTTGCTCACTACCTTTTTCCCCTACAGTTGCACGACACCTCCAGGCTCCAGCTGTCGGATCATACCCCACACTTAACCATTCTTTTCCTTCTAGGCTTCTCCCTCTCCTAGCACGTGAACTCCGCTTCGACTGACTTCTTCCTGAGCTCTCCTTCAAGGCGAACTCCGCTTTCTCCGCGACTGGACTCTCTCCTTCTTCTCCTCCTCCCTCTCCTTGAGGGACTTGTTCTTGATCTCCAGCTCCTCCATCTCCTCGGACATCTCTTTCACGCGTGCCTGCAGGACTGTCAGAACAAACACACATCCACAACCACGGCCCACGGGCATTCAGAGGTATCCCTACCCGCTCAAATCTACCACAGCAGACTGCACTGTCACTGAAGTAGTCATGCTTGTCATTGCTTGATGTATGTCTTTGAGCCGGTGTGCAAAACACATATACAGAAATCTGCACAATGCTCGCTACCATCTTTTCCCCAGGCCCCAAGCACAATGCACCCTCATGATGACTACACAGAAGTCATCTCACCTTTCTGGTCTGCTACGAACATAAAGAGGTTGCGTAATGCTCAGCGGAAGTCGCCGGAAGTCGCCGGAATAGGACCTTCTAGCCTGGCTAGCCAGTTTCCCATGCCTTCATTTTTTGTGTCCCCTTACCAAAGTCTATACTACTCTACAGTACATCCGTTCGGGAAAAGGAATTGAACACTCTGGCTGCAAAAACCTCAGTTCTTGGGTTGTTCGCCCCCAAGCCGGGCATAAAGTCTTGGAGGCCCTCGAAGGAAAATGCAAGTCATTTTTGGACCCTGGCTGGGCTGGATTCCCACCATTCCATCCGTTCAAGATTGAAGTAAGATAGGTCCAAGGAGAGCCAGTGCGACGAACAGGGCAAAGAATAGAAGGATATAATGCAATTTACTGCAGTGGAAGACTAAAAAATATGACTTGACTCACCAGATCAAGTAGTAGAGTGAAACTCCATGCATTGGCTCGACCACGTGTAAAAAGATTCAGTCTCAAAAATGACGAAAGTAGGAAGATGGAGGATGAAGAAGACAATGAAGAAGTAGAAAGCCGGGGCCCGAGCACATCAGCTTGTAGATTGTGGTCATGATGTGCAGCGAAAGATAGCAAGATGCCATAGCTATACTCACACAATGAACATCGCACATCTCACAAAGCAAGGAGGGGAATCATACACGGAAGAAAGGCCCCTTTAAATAGAGTCCTGGAGGCCCTCCAAGGAAAATGCAAGTCATTGTTGGACCCTGGTTGACTGGAAATAATAAATTTCCGGCCTTTCCATCCGTTCAAGATTGAAGCTAGATAACTACGTAACTTTTAACTATCCTTCCTCTTCTATGATGGGATCAACTGATTCAATACCCACAGATTCTAAATGGTAAAACACACACACACACACACACACACACACACACAAACGATCACGGCCTTTTTTTGTTATTGTTTTTTTCGTCTTTTTTTTATTGATTGATTGATTGATTGATTGATTGATTGATTGATTGATTAGTAGTGGGGGGTCTCCTCCCCCCCGCGAACACACACACACACACACACACACACACACACACACACACACACACACACACACACACACACACACACACTCACAGAAGATACAACCAGGCAGGACAGCGAGGGGGCCCGTGCAGAGAGAAGTCAAAATGGTAAACTAGTTAATGGACCTTACGTCAAGTTCATTCCTTGTATCTTTTTTATAGACAGCTTTTCTTATTGCGTGTCTTGTTTTCTTTGCCAAAGAAGACAGATATCCCAGCAATCTCCATTTTCTAGTTCTTTTTAAAAATTTTAAAGAGCCCATTGTTTGTAACTTCATACTTATATATATAGACGGCTTTTCTTATTGCATGTCTTTTTTCTTAAGACTGGTTTCCCAACAACCTCCAGTTTCTATATTTTCTTAACATTTTCGAAGATCCCGTCCACTTCACACAGATCGACGGCACCATAACATTCGATCACGCTCTCCGACAAAACCCCTCGATCCTCTATCTTTGTGGGCAGGTCTGCCTATCTTTAATGGTTACCTGTGCTTTATGTAATATCATACGAGCTGGATGCGCTCGGAGGACTTTTCTATAACGTCTTCTTTGTCCTTCCTTTCTCTCCCCTCCCTTCTTCCTCTTCTTCTTCTTCTTCGTCTCCTTCATCCTATCACTTGCTATGGGTGATTTTTCACTTGGCTAATGTTGCAATGAGATTCTCTCTACTTGGAATACGATCGCCTCTGCTGAGACTTAAAAACTTGTTCGTTCTTCGAGATATACGTTAAGTGAACAATACAGAAAAGATTCACATGGCACAAGCACAAGGATGAATCGCACAACTGCGAGCAATCGTCTGCGCCCTTAAACATAGCGATACGAGACTCGAAATTGACATTCGAAAATATTGCAAAACATTCGACAAAGAGAAAGAGAGAGAGAGAGAGAGAGAGAGAGAGAGAGAGAGAGAGAGAGAGAGAGAGAGAGAGAGAGAGAGAGA